TCCCATTCCCCCGGTAGCCCCTGCTCTTTTCCCTCCCCATCCTCCTCCGTCTGGTGTGTCTCACGTCTCTCCCCTCCCATCGGTAGTCCCTGTGGAGGATTCGGCTCACTCCAGGAGCCCCGCGGCTTCGGTTTCGCCGCCTGTCTCCGCCACGGTGTTTCCTCCTCCGCCACCATTGCCGCCGCAGCAGCAGCCGCCATGGCCGCCGTTGCAGCCGTCGCCATCGCAGGGGTCCGCAAGCTCTGGGGGCGCGGGCGTTGAGGAGGGTGCAAGTTCTGGGGGAGCTAGAACTGTGGGTACTATCGTGGCTTGTACCGGCGGTCCTGGGGGTCACATACTGTAGGTGCTGGAGAGGGTTCTCGTTCTGGGGGTACTTGTTGTGGGTGTGCTAGTCCTCGGGGTACTGTTGTGGCTTGCCCTAGTGGTCCTGGGGATGGTACCGGTGCTCGAGAGGGTTCTTGTTCTGGGGGTGCTATCGTGCAGTGTCCCGGAGGTAGCCGTGGTGCGGCTTAAGGTTCTGGCGTTGGCGTCAAGCAGCAGTAGAAGTCGCCACCAGTGTTCGCCCTTTGCCTCCTTGGTCTTCCCTCCCCCGACCGCCAGCCTGCACCTCCCCCGCCTGTCTACGGTCCTATGTTTCCTCTGCTGGACTTGTCTGTGGCTCGTTTCCCCCCTCGTTCTCCTGCCGGTGTCCATGCCGCCAGTCCACTTGTTCCTCGCGTTCTCGCCTCTCTTGTTACCGACCCGTCCATTCGTGTCTCCAGTCTTGACGCTCTTGTCGCTGCCGTCGCTGATTTTGCCCCTACTCGCCGCCTTGACAATGCCACCGCTCTGGTCTCTGACCATTCCTGTCCTCCGTCCGTCGGGGGTGCTCCTGCCCTTGGCAGTAACGCCCTAGAGGACAGGCAATACGAGCTCGGGGGTGCTCCTGCCCTTGGCAGTAACGCCCTGAGGCCACTCCCCATCTTTGCTCCATGTTGCTAGTCCTTGAGGGTTACCCAGATGGCCTTGACATGCCGCTTACGCTCAGGCGACGTCAGGACCCTGGTCCTCTTAGTGGATCGCATTCATGGACTCGAAGATGGCTTGGAGATCCACCGGCACCTACGTCGACGCAGTTCCCCCACCTGGGGTGAACGTAGTCGATGGTCGGTAGCTCTTCAACGTGAAGCGCCCTTCTAGAGAGCTGCCAGTGTTCAAGGCGCGCTACGTTGCCAGAGGCTTCAGTCAGCGCAAGGGTGTTGACTTCTTTCAGACATTCGCCCCGACCCCGAAGATGACCACTTTTTCGACGCTGCTACACTTAGCTGCACAGCGTGGCTACGAGCTGCACTCCCTCGACTTCTCTACAACGTTTCTTCAGGGCAGTCTGCACGAGTAGGTCTACCTGCGCCGTCCGCTAGGCTTCACCATCACCTTCGCCCCTAGGAACGAGTGGCTTTTATGGCGCCCAGTTTACGGCCTGCAGTAGGCGCCTCGTGAGTGGCACGACATGCTGCGTGCCACGTTAGCTGGCCTGCAGTTCTTCCCATCGTCTGCATACCCTTTTCTCTTCTTTATTCATGCTAGACCCCGCTCTACATCCTTGTCTACGTAGACGACCTGGTCTTCGCTGTCGCGGACAGAGGCGCACTGGCCTCCGTGAAGGATGAGCTGCTGAGGAGACACACCTGCACTGACCTAGGAGAGCTACGTCGCTACCTTGACCTGCAGATCTCCAGGGACAGAGCAGCGCGCACCATCACTCTTACACAGTCACACTTGGTGCGCCAGGTCCTTTAGAGGTTTGGTCTTCAGTTCTCCACTACACAACCAACACATCTGCCAGTAGATTACAGGCTCTCGGCTCCAGTCCTTGAGGAGTCGGTAGAGCTTAGTGGTCCGTACGCTGAGGTGGTGGGTTGCCTCATGTACCTGACGACTTGCACTCGTCCAGATCTCGCAAGCCCTCTCAGCATCCTGGCTCACTTTTTGGTGACAAGCAGACACCGACCACAGCACTGGTCGGCCGCTAAGAGGGTTGTGCGTTATTTAGAAAGTACATCAGGCATGGGGCTAGTGCTAGGAGGACGCAGGCCAGTGGTCCTTACAGGGCACACAGACGCATTGTAGGCGGACAAAGCTGAGACGCTCAGGTCCTTCCAGGGCTACTGCTTTAGCCTTGGTGTAGGCACCATCTCGTGGAGGTCCACCCGCTCTTCGTCTATCGCACAGTCTAGCTGTGAGGCTGAGATCTACGCTGGTGCTATGGCGGCACAAAAACTTTGCTGGCTGACTTTCTTATTCACTGACTTAGGTGAGAGGCCTAGCTCATCCTTGGTTGTGTACGCTGACAACAGGGCCATGATCCTCCTGTATCAGGAGCCTCGACTTGAGGGCAGAGCGAAGCACATCCAGCTGCGGTACTTCCTCCTGCGCGAGCTACAGCAGCGCCGCCAGGCTCGCGTAGTACACTTGGCCTCCGGTGGCAACACAGCTGATATCTTTACTAAGGGGCTTGCGCCTAAAGGTCATCAGCGGCACTATGTACAGCTTGGTCTAGTTCCAGTAGCTTGTCACTTGCTAGGACCCTGATTGTGTACTTCTCTTTTATATATTATCATGTTTGGCCTTGTGGCTTTTGTTCCAGTGGCTGGACTAGTAGTGCCGCCCAGGTTTGCTCTTGTCTAGTTTGTACTATTCTGACTGGTCTTCGGACCCTTGCCTCAGAGGTTGGACTAGTAGTGCCACCCTGAACTGCATGTCTCTTGCCAATCACTGCCCCTTGTCTAGCCTAAGGGGTGTGTCAATATATTTATATTTTGTTATAGACTAGATAGGTGCATGTTTATAGAGAGTACAGCACCAAAGCACAAAACCTGCATGTATGCCTCATTCTAGTCGTTGCGTTATTCTGAGACTTAAAGCCTGTATATCGTGGCGTTTTCTAGGGCATACCCCGATTATTCATGTTCTGTTTGTTTGTTTGTTTTTTTCTTCTTCTTCTTCTTATTTAACTGGAAATTTATGTGTTCCCGTTTTCTAAGGTCTGAAAAATAATATGTTCTTGTTTTACTGAGCCTGACGAATCGGCCTTACTAGAAATTTGCCCTGAAATTGAATCTTATATGTTAAGGCGAGTTAGAGCACGTGTGAGGGGCGTGACTGGTCCTTGACCAGAATCACGCAAGTTCGAGGCGAGCTTGAGCAGGTGTGAGGGGCGTGATTGGTCCTTGACCAGAATCATGCAAGTTCGAGGCGAGCTGGAGCAGGTGTGAGGGGCGTGATTGGTCCTTGACCAGAATCACGGTCTTAAATTATATTTGTTATATAATTGTAGGCTTGGTAGGTGTTACTGAACTCTACTGTAGAGGGTACAACTCCTTCCTTGTATGCCTCTCTCTCTCTCCTATTCCAACCCCCTTTCCTCTCCTAGCTCCCAGCTCCTAAACCCTCACGCCATTTTCATGGCCGCCCTTCCTTCCTAGCTAAGTTAGCCTTCTAACATGGAATTAGAGCTGTTCGTTCCTTGTGGGCCTGCTCCTCACGCTTCCATCGCGCTCTTCTACTCTCTCTCTCTCTCTCTCTCTCTCTCTCTCTCTCTCTCTCTCTCTCTCTCTCTCTCTCTCTCTCTCTCTCTCTCTCTCTCTCTCTCTCTCTCTCTCTCGCTGCTATAGCGGCCGCGTCGTGCTACTGTGGCCGTGTTGTCGTGCCGCCGGCCGCGTCGTGCTGCCGCGGCCGTCGCAACGCGCTGCCGTGGCGTCGTGCTGTCGCGGCGTCGACGACAAGCCATGGTGGCGTCGACGTCGACGTCAAACTGTGGCGACATGACGGCGCCGTCGTGCTGCCGCGTCGTCTACGCGACAGCGCACGGACGGCTGCGGCCAGCGCCTCTTCTTAGCACTGGCCAGCACTCCCGCATGCAGCCAGCACGCCACATGGAGCACCACGCTCCCGGGCTGCTGAAGCCCCGCCCCCCTTCCCGTGCGTCCCCTCTTCCTTGCCGCAGCCGACGGCTTCTTCGCGTCGGCCGTCCCACCGTCGCGGAGCCCGGCCATGCCGCCGAGTGCTGCGAACTCCGCCGCCGCCGTCAGCTGTCGTTGAAGCCGCCGCCGCCGCTGGCTACGCCGCCGGCGCCGCCGCTGTCGACGCTGCCGCCGTCGCCGCCGTTGCAGCCGCTGTCCTCGTTGTCGAGGTCGCCCCGCCTCACGTGCCGTGGGTTTGACCGTGCTGAAGTAGCAATCGCTGCTACTGAGTATGGGGGTGCTAGGTTAGGGGGTGTGGGTGTGTGTGGGCTTGCCACTACCAAGCCTAGGGGGTGTGTTAATTATATTTGTTATATAATTGTAGGCTTGGTAGGTGTTACTGAACTCTACTGTAGAGGGTACAACTCCCTCCTTGTATGCCTCTCTCTCTCTCTCCTATTCCAACCCTCTTTCCTCTCCTAGCTCCTAGCTCCTAAACTCTCACGACATTTTCATGGCCGCCCTTCCTTCCTAGCTAAGTTAGCCTTCTAACACACGGATGTTTGAGGTGAGCTAGAACAGGTGTGAGGGGCATGATTGGTCCTTGACCAGAATCACGCAAGTTCGAGGCGAGCTGGAGCAGGTGTGAGGGGGTTGACTGACCCTTCGCTAAAATGACGCAGGTAATTCGAGGAGAATTGTACGTAGTGAAGTCCGATCCGACCTAAGAATCAGAAACTAAAAGAATGTAGGCCTGATTAGTCAGACAAAAAGAAAGAAAGAAAGAAGTTGGCCTGAAAAAACACGCCATGCCCAAAACACGACCCTGAAAAACATGGGTTCTCACATGGGCGACCCTGAGCAATCAGCCTCCCTAAAACCAATATGAGGGCCTGACTTCGGGTGTACGCTCTGTAGTTTAGCACAGAAAGGAATGTTAATTCCTTACAATCATGGTGTTCCGTTACAAAGAACCGCCATATCGCGGATATCGCCACTTAGCTAAGAGGATATGCGTTACCCTTAGCTAAGGATATCGCCGTCCCTAGTGAAGCCGACCCCACGAGGAACTTATGCGCGAGTCGCGCCAGCTAGCTACCAAAGCGCGATTCGCCCACCACATCGACCAGACCGCCATGGTCGCCATTTGTCGCCTCCGTCGCTCATCCGCTGTCGCACGCCCTGGAGCGCGACGTCTTCCAACCAGTCCCGACAATTGTTCCCCCATAATCACGCTCTCCCATCCCATCATCGTCAGCGCAGTGCACTCACGGCTCGCCCGGGCCCCATTTGTCCTGCCCTCGCACGCATACGGTGATGCAGGTCACGAACGTAGTACCAATGCACGACGCGGATTACAAGCGTCGACGCCCCTTCACCTTCAAAATCCACCTCACAGGCGTATGCCGTCGTCGCCTCCTCGTCCTCGTCGCCTCGTCCTCGTCGCCTCCTCGTCGCCTCCTCGTCGCCTCCTCGTCCTCGTCGCCTCGTCGTCGCCTCCTCGTCGTCGTACCTTCTCCGTCGTCGCCTCCTTTTTCGCTCCCGCCAACAACGCTAGCGCCGGTGCCTCGATCCCGTTCCCGCCGAGCGGTCCTTGCTCATCGTCGCCTCCCTGGAACGAGGTTACTTGAGTTGACTCAAAAGTCAGCTCCTTAGACGTACTTTTAGTAAGCACTTAGGAGAAGTACCCACCGTTGGATGACTTCTGAATCGACACGCGATTCAGGAGTGCCGACCGTTGGATTCGCACGGCATTCTGCAGGCGACTTAAAAGGCGATATGAACCCGCTCGCCGCGAGTCACGGCTTGCTGTGCGCCATAGTGCGCTATGGGCCGTGGTCCGACGCTGCGCTCGTGTCGGCGGAAACCCTAGAGCGGCGGCGGCAGCGCCTGCTGGCGCTCGCGGACGATCTGCGCGCCGTCGTTCCCTCCCCGTGCGTTGCGCTCGTGTCGGCGGAAACCCTGAGGCGGCTGCGCCAGCGGCGGCGGCTGCTGAGCCTCTCGGAAGATCTGCGTGCTGTCGTGACGGACGGTGGCGATTCGTGCGACGCGGACGACGCGGGCGATGGCAGTGCGTGCGACATTGGCGATGTGGGTGACGTGGGCGACGTGGGCGACGAGGTGAGGGTTGAATGCAGTGGGAGGGACGACGTGAGGGATGGAGCAAAGGAAAGTGTATTTTCGGACCCTATGGCTGAAACTGACCCTGGGGGCACTGCTAGGGTCGATTCTGAATTCGTGGCTTATAACGAGGCGGTAAAATGGTTGGGAAGGGGAGTGGTTTTTGAGAGGATAGGAGAACCGGACTCTATGCAGCTGTCCGTGATTATAACGAAGAGAGAGTGGACTAGGACTAGGACAGGAGAGACGGCAGGGCAGGGTGTGATAGTAACGAAGGAAGAATTGGCAGGGGTTCAGGCAAGAACACGGACAGATGAGATGGAGCCGGAATTGAGAGGGGTTGGGAGTGTGACTGTAGAGGGGGCAGTGGAGAACAGGAAGGCTACTCAGGGAGAGGGAGCGACTGTAGAGGGGATAGAGGGGAACAATGTGACAAAGAAGGGAGCTGGGTGTCCAACAGAAGCAGCTGTGGGGCAGGTTGACCGAGGCTGCCCAGATGTGACGGTAGCGAAGGCAGGGGAGTTTGGCAGAGCAGCAGGGCGCCCGATAGAAGCAGCTGGGAGTGGGAGGCAGGTTGAGCGAGTGGGTGTGTATGATACACTGAGTGCTATAGCGAAGGCTGTTGTGATTAGAAGCGAGTACATGATCGAGAAAGGAGACAGAGGTTACCAAGATGTGACTGTAGCGGAGGCAGCAGGGGGGAACATTAGAGCAGCAGGGGGGGACCGCACAGCAGCAGGGTGTGAGGTGGATACTAAGCCGGATCATCGGATGGGCCGGATGCTCAATGCAGTAATAAAGGCCGTTGTTATTAAGAGCGAGTATGAGCGGGTAGAGCTGTCCAACGTTATGCAAAGAGAATCGCATAAGGGTGGAGTGGTCAGCATGATACGGCAGGCAGTGTTCATAAAAAGCGAATACACAAATGAGAGCAAGGTTTGCTGGAGGGATATAGAGAGCATGGTGGCAGATTCTCAGAGTGCGCAGAGCACGGCACGGAATGTGAGATCAGGGCAGCACACGAGCTCTGTGACGCGAGATCAGGGGCGAGATGATGCGAGTTTAGAGGCGCCTCAGAGATCCGCTGAGGTGCGAGTCGATGCAGGGGAGAAGAGTGCGTCGGAGGACGTGGATGCTAGTTGTGGTAGGGACGGGAGGGACGGTCTCTGCGGTGGGTGCAGTCAGGGGAGTGTTGCAAGGGTGCAGCATCTACATCACATGGCACTGCTGCCCCCCTCGCAACTGCAGCAGAAGCAGCAGCAGCAGCAGCAGCAGTGGTTGGAGGAGGGGGAACAGAATCGGTCGACGCAAAAGTGGCAGGGGTTGAAGGCACTAGCAGGGTCCATCGGCAGTGCAGATGCCACCTCCCGTGAACTAGCCAGTGCAGATGGCACCTCTTTTCCAGTTGCCATGTTCCCAAGAGCACTCCCCCAGATGACCAGAAATGACATCTGGGAAGCCTTTGAGGGGAATGGGAGGCAAGAATCCAGCCAGGTGGCTGCCACAGTGATGGGAGAAGCAGGAATAGAGGAGAACACTGCAGAGCAGACCAAGGGAATGGAAGAGTGCAGTGCAACATGCGCAATGGTGAGTGGCTTGCAGGGGCAGGGTTGGTCACTGTTTCCATCTGACACTGGTCAAGAAGAGCAGGAAATGCTGCAAGGCTTAATTCGAAGAATGGCGATTAAAGAGGGCGGGATGCTAGAGGAGATAGTGATATGCACGTTGTGGGATGATAGGGAGGAGTATATTCCCCAGATTGGAGATCTGGTATGGGATGATTTTGTCGACAGGCTTATCGAGCCGACGGAGGAGTGCTTCCAATTTTGCTACTGCCCGGGGGCTATCAGTAGTGTGCAATGACCTTGAATATGAGTGGGTTCTTTTTATGTACCTTATTGCAGAGGTAGTGTTTTGGTTTTGGACTGATGTCAAATAACATAACAATGTAGTTGATTTGGGATGTTGCATTTTGCCTCGACTATGAAACTTACCGTAATCCCCCGGATATAACACCCGCCGGAATAGTCACTCCATGGGTGGTTAATACTATCAGAATAATTGAATAATGGTAAAGTGAGAGTACACACAAATATATCTAAGTTTTGTATCCTCTAAGAGATGACTCTATACAGTCTATACAAACATGACAAATACACATGTTTGACACACCCCCTAGACTGCATAGGGGAATACCCTAAACAAGCAGCTCAGGGCGGCACTACTAGTCCAACCTCTGAGACAAGGGTCTGAGCGACCGGTCAGAAGGAGTACAGACAAGGCAAGCACAAGAGCAGGGCGGCACTACTAGTCCAGCCACTGGGAGAGGACACAAGTCCAGTCTGAGTATACATATAAAGGACAGTACAAAGTCAAGGTCCTAGCAAGTGAGAGGCAACAGGAACTAGACCAAGCTGTACACAGTGCCGCTGATGATCTTTAGGCGCAAGCGCCTTCGTAAAGATATCAGCCGTGTTGGCACCTGAGGCCAAGTGTACTACGCGAGCCTGACGTCGCTGCTGTAGCTCACGCAGGAGGAAGTACCGCACCTGAATGTGCTTCGCTCTGCCCTCGAGTCGAGGCTCCTGACACAGGAGGATCATGGCCCTGTTGTCAGCGAACAGGACCGGGGCAGAGCTAGGTCGCTCACCTAAGTCAGTGAGCAAGAAGGTCAGCCAGCGGAGCTCCTGTGCCGCCATGGCACCGGCGTAGATCTCAGCCTCACAGCTGGACTGTGCAACAGACGAGGAGCGAGTAGCTCTCCACGAGACGGCACCTGAGCCAAGGCTGAAGCAGTAGCCCTGGGTAGACCGGAGTGTCTCAGCGTCGTCTGCCCACGAAGCGTCTGTGTGCCCAGTAAGGACCGCTGGCCTGTGTCCTCCTAGCACTAACCCCATGCCCGATGTACTAGCAAGATAACGCAGAACCCTCTTAGCGGCAGACCAGTGCTGCGGCCGGTGTCTGCCTGTGGCCACAAAGCGAGCCAGGATGCTGAGAGGGTATGCGAGATCTGGGCGAGTGCAAGTCATCAGGTACATGAGGCAACCCACCAGCTCTGCGTAGGGGCCGCTGGGCTCTACCAACTCCTCAGGAACTGGAGCGGAGAGCCTGTGGTCTACAGGCAGAGGGGTGGGCTGTGCAGAGGAGAACTGAAGGCTGAACCTCTGAAGGACCTGGCGCACCAAGTGTGACTGAGTCAGGGTGATGGTGCGCGCAGCTCTGTCCCTGGAGATCTGCAAGCCAAGGTAACGGCGCAGTTCTCCAAGGTCAGTGCAGGTGTGTCTCTTCAGCAGCTCTGCCTTCACGGAGGCCAGCGCGTCCCTGTCTGCTGTGGCAAAGACCAGGTCGTCGACGTAAACGAGGATGTAGAACGGAGTCTGGCCAGCACGAATGAAGAGTGAAGGGTCTGCAGAAGACGGAAAGAACTGCAGGTCAGCAAGCGTAGCACGCAGAGTGTCGTGCCACTCACGGGGAGCCTGGCGCAGGCCGTAGACGGGGCGCCGCAGGAGCCACTGGGTCCCAGGAGGGAAGGTGCCAGTAAAGCCCGGAGGGCGGCGCAGGTAGACCTGCTCGTGTAGGCTGCCCTGAAGGAAGGCAGTGGAGAAGTCGAGGGAGTGAAGCTCGTAGTCACGCTGAGCAGCTAGGTGTAACAGAACCCGAAGAGTAGTCATCTTCGGGGTCGGAGCGAAAGTCTGGAAGAAGTCCACCCCCTCGCGCTGACTGAAGCCTCTAGCCACATAGCGCGCCTTGAAGACAGGCGGCTCTCCAGGAGGGCGCTTCACCTTGAAGAGCCAGCGGCCATCGACTACGTTCACCCCAGGTGGGGGAACTGCGTCGACGAAGGTGCCGGTGGATCTCCAAGATGCCATCTCCTGCTCCATGGCAGCTATCCACTGCGAGGCCCAGGGTCCCGAAGTCGCCTCAGCGTAAGTGCGAGGGGTCGGGATGTCGAAAGCGTCTGGGTCACCCTCAGGGACTAGCAGCATGGAACAGAGATGGGGAGCAGCCTCGGAGAGGAAAGCAAGCTCGAACTGGCGGTCCTCCAGGACGTCACTGCCAAGGGCAGGAGCACCCCCGACAGACGGAGGACAGGCAGGGTCAGAGACCAGAGCGGTGGCGTAGTCAAGGCGGCGGGTAGAGGCGAAGTCAGCGACAGCAGCGACAAGAGCGTCAAGGCACGAGACTGGAACAGACGGGTCCGTAACGAGAGAGGCAAGGACCCGAGGAACGAGAGGACGAGCGGCACGAAGGTAGTCGGACAGCGGGGGGGGCGCAACAACAAGGGAGGACGGAGGAGGCGACGGCAGAAGGGGAGGACGAGACGCGTGTGAACGAAGCAACATAGGGTGGGAGCGCAGGACAGGCGAGGCAGGACGAGCACGGGAGGGACGGTGAGACCAGACGTGTGATGGAGGAGTCGGGTCAGGAGACAGGGGAGGGGACACAGGAGGGGAACGAGGGGGGAGACGGGCCGGGGACGAGTCCGGCGGAGGGAAAACAGGGCCGTAGACAGGAAGAGGAGGAGACGGTCGGGGAGGAACCGACGCAGGGTCGGGGGACGGAAGGCCGAGCAGGCGAAGGGCGGACACCGGCGGGGACTGCTGCTGCGGCGGCACAACGGCGACACCTGGACCGCAAGCTGCTCCTCGGCTACCACCGGCACTCTCCACACCCGCACCCCCAGAGGGACCACCCTCAGGGCGACCGGGACGAGCACCCCCAGAGTCAGCGAACGGGGGCTGCGACTGCGGCGGCGGCGGCGGCGGCGGCGACGGCGACGGCTGCAGTGGCGGCAAGGACGGCGGAGGAGGGGACTGGGGAGGGGACACCTGGGGAGGGGCGGCCGGCGAGGACTGCACCGGAGGGCCACCAGAGTCAGAAGACTCCTCAACCGGGTCCACGGACGGAAGGGGGGTGACATGGGAGACACCAGAGGGGGCGGGACGGGGAGGAGGAGGAGGAGGGGCAGGGACTACCGGGGAAGGGGTGACCAGGAACAGGGGGGGGGTAACCGAGGGACCACGGTGGGGGAAGCGGCGGTAGTAGGAGACGGACTCGTCAAAGGTGACGTCACGAGAGTGAAAGAAGCGGTGAGACGGCGGGTGGTAAAAGTGCCAGTCGGACGCGTCAAGGGGAAAACCGAGGAAGACGCAGGGAAGGGTGCGGGCAGTGAGCTTGTCCGTGCCGGAGGCACGGACGTGAGCAAGGCAGCCCCAGACGTGGAATGCAGACGCGTCACCAGGAGACCCAGTCCACAGACGGGTCGGCGAAACCTGCGGCTGCTGAGGGTGCGGCCACAGGTTAAGCTGGTGAGAAGCGTAGCGCACAGCGAACGGCCACAGAAAATGGGGTGCACCGGCATGGACCATGGAGGTGCGAGCGACCTCCATGACCAAGCCAATGCGTCGCTCAGCGACCCCATTCTGCTGTGGGGAGTCCGGTAAGGTGAACGTCTGGGTGATGCCCTCCGCACGACAAAAGCGACCAAGGACACCTGAGGCAAACTCGCCACCACGGTCTGAGTGAAGACGCAAGACAGGGAGACCGCGGTGGACACGCGCAGAGACAAGCCAGGGGATGAGGGCGCCAGGCACGTCGGCCTTGCGCTCCAGGGGAAAGACTGTGGTGTAACGAGTGAAGTCGTCGACAAGTACAAGGAAGTAGCGCTCGCGACGCGGCCCAGGGACGGGGGCGGGGCCCCAGACGTCCAGGTGCAGGGTCTGCAGCGGCGCGGCGGTAGGGGGGAACGAGGAGGAGTGAGGGGCACGGCGAAGCCGACCCTCGACACAAGGCGTGCAAGGTGGAGCTGGGGAGGAGGGAAACGCGGGGAGTGAACCTGGGAGACCAAGGACAAGACCGTGCTGGGACATGTGACGCAGACGCGGGAGCGCAGGGTGACCTAGGCGGTGGTGCCACAGGAGGGTCGGGTGAGTGAGGGAGCGACAGGAGCAGGCAGCAGCAACCTGGGTAGACACAGCCACCTGAGGGGGCGCTCCAGCCGGGGGGGGCACGGTGTCCAGAGTGAACAGGCCGGACACCGGGTCCCGGGGGAACGTGGACAGGGGGGCACCAGTGGCGGCCTCGGTACAGACAGCATACCGCTCGTGACCAGGGAACGTAGTGGTGACGCCAAGGTCCTGGAGGCAGCCGACACCAACTAGGTTCCTGGAGAACGAGGGGATATGCAGACCTGTAAGAGAGCCCGAAGGAACCGCCGGACAGGGAAGGGTGGTGGAACTGCGGGCGACTACCGGGCCGCCGGAGGGGTCAGCAAGAGAAACGGCAGCAGGAACAGGAAGCGGCGTCAGGGTGGTGGAGTCGCGGAAGAAACACCGAGAGGCGCCAGAGTCCAAGGTGAAGGAAAGCGAAGCCGAGGGGTCTGGCGACGGAACGACGGCAGAAGCACCAAGACTACACAAAGCAGGGGATCCTACGCCTGACGCAGCAGGGGAGGCTAAGCTAGGCACACCTACACTAGGCAACAGTGAGTAATAAGTCGGAAGCACACTAGAGTCATCAGCATACATCACATGCAGAGCAGAAACAATGGCATCCATGTCCATATCAAAGATCTGAATCTGACGACTAAGCAAACTGTGCCAGTCCGGGAGGTCTGGCGACGGGCCGAAACGCTGACGGAAGAGGTCGTCCAGGCGACGAAAGCAGCGGGGAGTGGAGTGACCGATCTTACCGCAAACGAAACCGCGGCGAGGACCGGTCTGGATCTGGTACTGACAACGCCCGCCGGCAGAGCCACCACGCGGCACACCACCACGCGCCCGTCCACCGCCAGCGCCGGGCCACCCTGGCGGGAGAACACTCGTCTGCCGCGTCTGCGACGGCTGCTGCGGCTGCTGCGAAGGCTGCGACTGCGGCGGCTGCTGCGGCTGCTGCAACTGCAGGGGCGGCGACTCAGCTGGACTGGGCAGGGTCCCCTCGTCCGCTCCAGCACCA